TAGGAGAAACCATTACAGCTTTGCACAAGGCATGAATTAGGCATGGAAAAGGGAGCGAAGTTGTTATCTAGTTCGCCCAGATCCCAATCACACGGTATATAATCTCTCCCACATCAACCTTGATGCCTGTCATAATGCATGCAATAAGGATTGCCTTTTCGATGCTTACATCTGTTTCATTTCTTGAGGGAATTAGATGGGAACAGGCAAAACTTAGCCAGTACTGACCTTCTCAGGTAAGATCCCTCTTGTGGATCCTTTAGCGCGGAGCAATCCAGGGCAGAGTTCCCTTGGCTATGATAGAGGTTACCCAAACACGCTCGGATTCCTTGTTTTTAGGCTTTTCGTCATAATCGGCGATGCCTGGTTCCCAATCCTCGAAGTACACATCATTGATTGACCATGCATCACATAGGACTTCAACTCCGCGGACTAACACAGAGTCCAAGAGCCTACGGTTTTTTCTTTTATTCTGCATTCCTGGATGCAACATCAGCTTAGAATTCCCTCATGAGTGTCTCGTTGTACTCTCCTGGGTCCTGACTAAAGGACTCTCATCTCCTCTTTTTGATGTTTTCTTGTACGTGGGGATAGTTTCCTTTAAGCTTTTCAAACTTAGCTGCTTCTCTTCAAGGATTGTTTGCTTTCCTAGGCCTTCACTGTACAGGGTCCGAGAGCCCGAAACCCCAAACCTGAGATCTTAATCATTTTTTTAGCGTGCTTCAGCATGGAGGTCAATAGGTGGCACAAGATTAGTATGTGCCTCCTCCTCTTCAGACTGGGAGGAATGCTCAGATGTCCTTATGGCTGTGTCAGTCCGAGTGCGTTTGGATTATTGTGCTTGTCCTGGAGCCGGAGGTGATCACACTGCGAGAGACTTCTTTGGTGCCATTCCTGTGAATTTTGTGCCGGACAAGTGGATAGCTATACACATTATGCGGTCGCATATGTGTTATGCGATGAGTTAATGGCTGGGTTGCTCGACTTCACTACGCAATGCATTCTACGGTTGCATAAATGTTATGCGGGCCACAGAAAATGAGATTCCACTGCATTTTTGAGGACCAAACTAGCATTTTTTCTGATTGCGTTTGTCAACAGTATGCGGTCCGCAAAGCCATTATGCGACCGCGTAGTTGCCGCAGACCACGCGTCCTTCTTTTCTTCATTCTCCTTAGTCCTTGCACCATGTTTCATTGTATTTTGAGCTACCTGCATTCTAACACACACGTCAAACTGCTCAACACTAACAACTACACCTACAGAAATTAAAATCTAACAAAAGATTGTTACCACACATAGGTTGCCTCCCAAGAAGCACTTGATTTAACGTCGTGACATGACGATGTCGACCCCGTTTTGGGCTACTCAGTGGTGGGGGCTAGTGTAGGACTATCCTTGAGAGAAAATTGTTCTACCAAGTGCCTTTCTCCTGTGGTACCGAGGTAATGCATGACCCGTCGGCCATTTACTTTGAAAGTTTGAGTCCCATCCTCCATCTCCAATTCAATAGTACCATAGGGGTACACATTCACAACTTTGAATGTGCCAAACCATTTGGATTTGAGTTTTCCTGGAAATGACTTGAGTCTTGAGTTGAAGAGTAAGACCAAGTCACCGGATTTGAATTCCCGCTTCAAAATCTTCTTGTCATGAACAAATTTCATTCTCTCCTTATACATGGTTGCACTCTCATAGGCATGGAGACGGAATTCTTCCATCTCATTGAGTTGTGTCATTCTTAGCTTGGCAGCTTCGGCCCAATCAAGATTCAACTTTATCAATGCCCACATGGCTTTGTGTTCAAGCTCCACTAGCAAGTGACACGCCTTACTAAAAACTAATTGGTACGGTGTGGTGCCAATGGGAGTCTTAAATGTTGTGCGATATGCCCACAACGCATCATCTAGCTTCCTTGACCAGTCAGTCCTGTTTGCATTAAATGTCTTTGCTAGGATGATTTTGATCTCCCTGTTGGAAACTTCAACTTGGCCACTCGACTGAGGATGATAAGGTGTGGCCACCTTGTGCTTGACTCCATACTTTTCAAGAAGCCCTATGAAGACCTTGTTACAAAAGTGAGAACCACCATCGCTAAGGATGGCCCTAGGGGTACCAAACCACGTGAATATGTTCTTTTTTCAAGAAAGCGGTCACACTCCTTGCCTCATTGTTGGGCAAGGAAATAGCCTCGACCCATTTGGAGACATAGTCCACAGCCACCAAGATATATGTCATGCCATAAGAGCTCACGAAGGGACTTATAGAGTCTATCCCCCACACATCAAAGATCTCGACCTCCATTACAAGTTCATAGGCATCTCATGTCTTCCAGAAATTGACCCTTGTCTTTGACATTGATCACATGCCTTGACCATTCGATTTGCGTCTTGGTAGATTGATGGCAAATAGTAGCCACATTCAATCACCTTTGCTGCAGTACAATTTCCTCCATGATGGCCTCCAACCGGGGAGTCATGGCATGCTTTAAGAATTGGCAGTACCTTATCTTCCGAACACACCGCCGAATGATGTTGTCGGCACAAATACGGAACAGAAAGGGTTCCTCCCAATAGTATTTCCTACACTCACGCAAGAACTTTTTCTTTTGATAAGCTTCCAATCCGTCGGAAACAAGGTCACTAATCAAAAAGTTAGCGACGTCGGCATATCAAGGAGAGAATGTGCTAGACAATACCAATATGTGCTCATCCATAAAGGCATTATTAATTTCAAGGTTTTCTTTTGGTCTCCCTGCCTATTCAAGCCTAGATAGGTGATCTACAACTTGATTTTTTATCCCTTTTCGATCCTTGACTTCAAAGTCAAACTCTTGCAAAAAAAGGACCCACCTAATCAATATATGTTTAGAATCCTTATTCGCCATAAGATAGCGGAGAACAGCATGATCGGTGTAAATTATCACTTTGGACCCCAACAAATAAGCCCGGAATTTTTCAAACGCATAGACAATGGAAAGCAGCTCTTGCTCAGTCACAGTGTAATTCATTTGTGCTCCATTGAGTGTCTTGCTTGCATACAGGATTAAAGATCTTGTTATGTCGTTGACCAAGTACCGCCCTAATAGCTACACCCTGGCGTTACACATGAGTTCAAATGGAAGGGACCAATCAGGTGTGACAATAATAGGTGTCGTGGTAAGCTTGTCTTTCAATTCTTCAAAAGCATTGAGACACTTCTCGTCAAAATACAAACTTTGCATCTTTTTCTAGGAGTTTTCACATGGATATGCAAATTTTGAGAAATCCTTGATAAAATGCCTATAGTAACCGGCATGCCCCAAAAAATCTTCGGACACCTTTTATTGAAGTGGGTGGAGGAAGCTTGGAAATGATTTTGATCTTTGCCCGGTCAACCTCTATGACTTGTTTGGAAATTTTGTGTCCCAAAACAATTCCCTCGTCCTCCATGAAGTGGCATTTTTCCCAGTTTAGCACAATGTTGGTTTCTTCACATCTTTTGAGCACTTGTCTTAGGTTGTCAAGGAAATGCTCAAAGGAGTAACCCAATACAGAGGAGTCTTCCACAAACACCTCTAGGAAATCTTCCACCATGTTCGAGAAGATTGACATCATGCACCGTTGAAAGGTAGCCGGTGCATTGCATAACCCAAATGGCATACGGCTAAAGGCAAAGGTCCCATATGGGCATGTAAATGTTGTTTTCTTTTGATCTTCTAAGGCGATGTTGATTTGGTTATAGTTGGAATACCCATCCAAAAAGCAATATAATGACCTTCCCGCTAGCCGATCAATAATTTGATCAATAAAAGGCATAAGGAAATGGTCCTTGCAAGTAGCATTGCCGGTAGTCCATGCAAAATCTCCACCCGGTAATTGTTCTCGTTGGGATGAGCTCATTTTTGTCATTTTGAATCACGGTCATGCCTCCTTTCTTTGGCACACATTGCACTGGACTCACCCAAGAACTATCGGCAATGGGGTAAAATACCCCGGTATCTAACTATTTGATGGTTACATTCTTCACCACCTCTTGTACGGAAGGGTTTAACCTTCTTTGATGCTCCACGCTTGGTTTGCTCTCTTGCTCCAATTTTATCTTGTGCTCACAAATCCTAGTGGGAATCCCTCGGATGTCCGCTATTGTCCACTCAATGGCTTGCATGTGCTCCCTCAGGACCTTCAACAATTTTTCCACCTGCACACCATTCAACAAAGAAGAAACGATTACCAGTAGAGTTTCATTAGATCCAAGAAATTTATACCTTAAGTGTTGTGGAAGTGGCTTGAGCTCAAGTTGTGGAGGCTCAATAATTGAAGGCTTGGCAGGAGTAGTGACTCTATTCTCTAAGTCAAGAGAAAGTTTCTTTGGTGCATAAGTGTAGGACCCAAGTCCTTCTAATGCATTCACCGATTCCATGTACCCCTCCATGTCTTCACCATCAAAATTCACCAAAATAGCCGTCGACGCCTCACCAAGGCATTTTTCTTCCATATTCATCTCGATTGCGTATTCTACCTCATCAACAACATCAATGACTGAGATTCTTTCATATGCATGTGGCAACTTCATACCCTTACTCGCTTGAAAGGTAACCTCTTCGTCATTAACTCGGAACTTGATCTCATTTTGTTCCAAATCCATAAGTGCTCTTCCGGTAGCAAGGAATGGTCTCCCCAAGATGATAGGGATTTATTTATTAACATCATAATCAAGGATCACAAAGTCGTTGGGAAGGAGGAACTTCCCTACTTTCACAAGAACATCATCAAAAATACCCACCGGTCTCTTTATTGAACAATCGGCCATTTGCAACCTCATACTTGTAGACTTTGGCATACCTAACCCTGCTTTCTTGTAAAAATCAAGAGGCATTAAGTTGATTTTAGCCCCATTATCACAAAGAACTCTTGCAAAATCGCACAACCCAATAGTGCATGGAATGGTAAAAGCTCCCGGGTCTTTTTTCTTTTGAACGGTGGTTGTTGAAATGATGGAACTAACCTGGTGATTCACATTCACCACTTCATTCTTGGTGGTTTTCTTCTTGGCAAGTATTTCAAATACATATCAAAACCCGGCATTTCTTGAAATTCTTCCACAAATGGAATATTCACCGATAATTGCTTGAGAATGTCACAGAGCTTCTCAAGTTTGCTATCATCAACCTTCCTAGCAAGTCTTTGAGGAAAAGGGGGAGGAGGTCTAGGAATTGGTGCTAGAGTTTTTGGTATCTCTTTCACCTTTTCCTTAACCTCTTCCTGATTCACTTCTTGAATTTTCACCTCCTTTGGGAATTTTTCAACTTTAACAACAATTGGAATCTCAACTTGTGCCTCAACTTCTTGTTCAGAATTTTCCACTTCCACCACTTGTTCATTCTCTCCTTGAAGTATTTTCCCACTCCAAGTTGTGATTGCCATACAATGAGAAGTTGGACGACTCGCACTACCTTTTGGGTTTGCAATTGTGTCACTTGGGAGTGTACCCTTTTTCTTCAGATTTTGCTTTCTTGGGAGATCTCTCATTTACATCTCCAACTTTTGAATAGATGCGGTATGAGATCCCACAAGATCGATCATATTCTTCGTTCAAGTGTCGGATCTTTCTTGATTTTGCAATACTCGTTCAAGCATGTTTTCCAACTTGGAATAACTTGAAGAACTTTCCTTTCAATCCGGAGAGTTGGAATATTTCCCCTTTGGTGGAACATAGGGGTTTGAACTCTGATTTTAAAAGTTGTTGTTGTTGTTACTCCAATTCCCTTAATTTGAACTACCTTGGTCATTTCACCACTGTTGGTTGCCTTGCCCTTGCGGGTTAGGCCTCCAATGATTTTGTTGTCCAGAAGCTTGTTGGGCTTGCCTTTGATAACCTCCTTGAGAGTTGTTACCATAATTTTCTTCCTCGTAATCCTCATTTGATATGGGTTGAACATCTTCCACCATGTTCACCCTTTTTGTTTGGCTTTCAATGAACGTCTTCGTCAACACATTGATGTTGGTGGCAAGCCCGGTAAGTACTTGATCTATTTTTTGTTTCCCCTTAATCATGTTGGTCAAGGAAGGAGTACCATATGCAATTCCACCTGTGGTGTCCCCCGAGTGCCAAGTTTGGTTATATTTTGCCATTTTGTCAAGGATTTATGTGATCCTCGCAAATGTTTTATCCATAAAAGGTCCATCAGCTGCATTTTTGGCTATAGATTGGTTCATAGGATCCAAGCCCATGTAACATTTATCCTACAAGATAGTATCCGGAAAACCATGATTCAGTGACCTCACTAAATATAGCTTGAATCGATCACATGACTCATGTAGGTGTTCTCCCGGTCAGTGCTTGAAAAAGAAAATTTTATCCCGGAGCTCAGACTTCTTGCTTTGTGGGAACCATTTAGCTAGGAAAGCTCGGAAGAGTTCAGGCCAAGAATGAATGGAATTAGATGGTAGATTTTGAATCCATATCCTCGCCTCTCCGGCTAGTGAGTACTTGAACACCCTCAGCCTTAGAGCATCAATTGAGACGTTATTCTGTTTATGCATCACACACACACTCAAGAAGTTTCTGAGATGTTGTGCCCGATCATCATTGGTGGAATATCTAAAAAAACCCTCTTCCTTGAGCATTAGGATTAGACCGTGTCCTACCTTGAAGGTGGCAGCGTCAACTCTTGGAGCGACAATGGCATTTGTATCCTAAATATACTCATCTATATTCGCAAAAGGGATCTCTTCATCAAACTCGGCCATGTTTACCTAATAACACCAAGAAAAGCAAGCAAAGTGTGATGGAATATGTCAGGCCCCGAGCCTGTGGGCGTGACAAAAGTGGTATCAGAGCAGTTCTATCCTATAGAGTCTACAATCCATGTTAGTAGGGTCTTGTTTATAGATGTGTGGTGCACCATATTATATAAGCAGGGGACTACAAGGCATTTAGGAGTTGGTTACCCTTCTTTCAAATCTAAATCATGCTATAGAACTGAGTTATAGGAAATTTGAGTTAAACTTACGTGTTGGCGTTTCCATACACATATGACGGTAACTAGGAAGACTACGGCTAGCCAGAGGAGAGAGACATCAATAGGTGAGAGGACTAACAGGGTAGCCCTAGTAGATGGGGCCCAATTGGAGGCCCAGGGAGAGACCCCTACTCAGCCATTATTGCCTCCTCCACCACCAAAGGAGATTCCTAGGGAAAACGCACATCCAGTCCCCCATCCGCTTCCATCATATCAAGACTTAAGGAGTGCGGTGCATTTGTTGGCACAGTTGGTAGCTACCCAAAAATAGGCTAGAGCATCCACTAGTGCAGGACCTTCTGAGGGGTTTGGGAGTTTAAGGGTCAGAGAGTTTATTTCTTTGAGTTCCCCAGAGTTCACGGGGACAGATCAGAGGGAGGACCCATAAGATATCATAGATCAACTTTACAAGATCTTTCGGGTTATGCATGCCACGGAGAAAGAGGTAGTTGAGCTAGTAGCTTTTCGACTCCGAGATATAGCCATCCTTTGGTACGAGGGATGGGAAAGATCCAGGGGACGTGATTCACCTCCTGCTATTTGGGAGAATTTTTCAGATGCCTTCGTTGACCAGTACTTACCGCGAGAGATCCGACAGGCCCGGGTCGATCAGTTTCTAGCCCTCAAGCAGGGCAATATGGGTGTTCAAGAGTATAGTCTCCATTTTGACTCATTGGCCAGATATGCACCATCCATAATTACTACTACGCAGGATAGAATCCACAGGTTTATAGCAGGGTTGGCCCTAGAGTTGACCGAGGCATTTGCCAACGCTGCATTATAGGATAGTATGGATATCTCCTCGATTCAGGCATTTACCGAGAATCTAGAAGGGGGTAGGCATCGGCAGCAGGATACGGAGATGACTGACTCAGGGCAGCGTAATAGGATGAGGTTTGCCAGGTCTCATGAGCAGTCTCAGGGTAGTTACATGCCCCAGTACTTCGAACGCCCACCTAGACCTCCCTTACCTCAGCTACATGGTTATAGGTATGACCGCTATACTCAGTCAAGACAAGGTGAAAGCTCCCGTCAAGTTTGCAGCGACAGCGAGGTTCGGGGCAGACATGGCTATTTCTCCCGCGGTGTGCCATCTGCGGTAGAGGACACTTGGGCCAATGCTGAGTCGGTTCTAATGCTTTTTATATATGTGGACGTTCAGCGCATATGATGCGAGATTGACTAAATAAAGATTCTGGGGGTATTGCGCAACCAGTGAATTCAGCAACAGGATCATCTATGTCCGTGCATTCTTCAGCGCGCGAGTCTTAGTCTTCGGCTGGTAGAGGTCGAGGCAGAGGTAGAGGTTTCAGTTTAGGTGGTAACCAGAATCGTAGCCATGCGTTAGCGGGCCGACAGGACCAGGAATCCTCACTGGATGTTGTGACAGGTATGTTGACCATTTGCTCTCACGATGCTTATACCTTGATAAACCCAGGATATACTTTATCGTGTATTGCCCCATTTGTTGCGAGGAAGTTTGGTATAGTGCCTGAAATACTAAGTGATCCTTTTGCGGTATCTACACCAGTCGGAGAATCGATTATTGCTAGACGAGTTTACCGAGGTTGTACGATATCAGTTTGTGGTCGTCAAACCTCAGCCGACCTAGTTGAGCTAGAGATGTTGGACTTTGATGCTATCATGGGCAAAGACTGGTTGGCAACTTGATATGCCACAGTTGATTGTCGAGCAAAGATAGCTAGATTTCATTTTCCAGGTGAGCTAGCCCTTGAGTGGGTAGGTAATACAGCGACACCCAGAGGTAGATTTATTTCCTATCTGAAGGCAAGGAAAATGATCGCAAAAGGCTGCATTTATCATATTGTGCGAGTTAGAGATATAGATACTGAGATACCTACATTTCTGTCTATTCCAGTAGTAAAAGTGTACGCGGATGTATTTCCCAATGAACTTCCACGTATTCCCCCAGAGTGAGGGATTGATTTTGGCATTGATTTGCTTTCGGGAACTCAACAAATACCCATCCCTCGGTATAGAATGGCACCTGCCGAATTGAAGGAGTTGAAGGAGCAGTTAAAGGATTTGCTGGAGAAAGGTTTCCTCAGGCCCAGTACTTCACCTTGGGGTGCACCGGTACTGTTTGTGCGTAAGAAAGATGGCTCGCAGAGGATGTGTATTGATTATAGGCAACTGAACAAGGTAACTATTAAGAATAAGTATCCACTTCAAAGGATAGACGACTTGTTGTAGGGAGCTAGATGTTTTTCAAAGATAGATTTGAGGTCGGGGTACCACCAGGTTAGAGTTCAGGGGAGAGATATCCCCAAGACAGCTTTCAGGACCCGTATGGCCACTTTGAGTTTCTTGTCATGTCCTTCGGGTTGAAGAATGCACTTGCCGTATTTATGGACTTGATGAACAGCCTATTCCGGCCATGTTTAGATCTGTTCGTGATAGTCTTTATTGATGATATTTTGGTTTATTCACGTTCAGAGGATGAGCATGCAGACCACCGATGAGCGGTACTCCAAACCCTCCATGATAATAAATTATATGCTATGTTTTCTAAATGTGAGTTCTATTTAAAGTATGTAGCATTCTTGGGGCATGTTGTATCCGATGGAGGTATAAAGCTAGACACTCAGAAGATTGAGGCTGTGAAATCCTGGCCTAGACCTACCACTCCAACAAAGGTTTTTTTTCCCCAGAGGTTCGTAGCTTTCTAGGCTTAGCAGGATACTACCGGAGGTTCGTAGAGGGTTTTTCTTCTCTTTCGGCACCATTAACGAAGTTGACGCAGAAAGCACTTATGTTTCAGTGGACGGAGGCTTGCGAGCGGAGTTTCTAAGAGCTTAAAAATAGGTTGACTTCAGCGCCAGTTCTAGCACTTCAAGAGGGTCCAGATGGTTATGCCATGTATTGTGACGCCTCAGGTGTCGGGTTAGGATGTGACCTGATGCAACATGGGAAAGTAATTGCGTATGCTTCAAGGCAATTAAGGAAGCATGAGTGGAATTATCCGACCCAAGACCTCGAATTAGCTGCGGTCATCCATGCACTTAAGATATGGAGGCATTATTTATATAGTGTTCATTTTGATGTATTCACATATCATAAAAGCCTGCAATACATCTTCAAGCAAAAAGAGTTGAATTTGTGACAGAGGCGATGGCTTGAGTTATTGAAAGATTACGATGTTAACATTCTCTACCATCCAGGGAAAGCTAATGTTGTAGCAGACGCCTTAAGTCGCCAATCTATGGGTAGCTTAGCGCATGTAAAGGCCGAAAAAAGACAATTAACTAGAGGGATTCATCAATTGGCTTGTTTGGGGTTCAGTTAGTAGACTCTGACAATGGTGGAGTTGTACTCCAAAATACTGCAAAATCATCTCTCATAGCTGAAGTAAAGGAGAAGCAGTACGAGGACCCAGAGTTGGTCGAGTTGAGAGAGCGAGTTCCGGAGTAGAAGAAGACGTTGTTAAAACTCAAGGGAGACGGGGTTCTCAAATACAGGGGTCGTTTGTGTGCTCCATATGTAGCA